AAAAAAAAAAAAAACACATATTTTAACCACTTGACTCTTATGGTGGTCATCATAAAGTATATCCTTCGTTATTTAAATTCTCTTACTTTCAACTTGTAAATCATTTAAAGAAAAACATACATATTTTAAAAAATTTTAAATTAAATTGTAAAGTTTTATTTTTAAAAAAATAAGTATACGAAATTTACCTTTTTTTTAATTAAGGAAATGAATTTTGCCTTATTCCCCTTTAATGATGCAATGATGATGGGGTAAATAATAATTTTAATAAAAAATAGTAAAGTTTAAATTTTTAAATAAAAAATAAAAATTTACAGTTTAATTTAAAATTTTAAGAATTTAAATTTTTAAATAAAAAATATGTTTTAACATATATTCTAAGCATATAAATTAATGGTTTTTTTTAATATATTTATATAAAAAATATAAAAATCAATATTAATTTTAATATTATTGTTATATAAGTAAATTTAATTAAATGCACTTGACTTGATTTATAGTCACCTTGAGATGCATTTTCCTTTTCTTCGGGTGGGGTCGAACCAGTCTTATGACAACATTGTTAAAAAAAATAAATTTAATTAAATAATTAATTAATTAAATTTTTATTTTTATTTTTTTAAAATTTTTTATCTTTGTGCTCGTGAGAGTATAAGTTAAAAAAGTTCATTAAAAATATAACAAAATCCATATTCTTATACTAATATCCAATAACCACCCTAAAAAAAGTGTTGGGACCACTCCCTTTTTAAATTTTTACTTTTAAAATATTAATTATATTTGATTTAATAGTTAAAAAGGTTAATAACAATAGTTGTTTATTGATAATTAAAAAAATAATCAATATTTATTAATTAATAAATTAAAATTAACTAATAAACTAAAATATTTAAACATTGTAGCTAATTATATATATAAAAAAATCCTTTTATATATCAGCATTAATTACGAAACATAAAAATTCTCCTCGAATGCTCCACAAGTGGTACAGTGGTAGATTCTACTTTAGTTTGTTAATCACTTCTCTAAACAGGTTAGGAGATTCGGGATTTAAGCATTATTATGCAGAAGTAATAATAAGTAGCATAAAAGGATGAAAAGACAATTGTCTCATGGAACTAAAATAAAAAAAAAAAAAAAAAAAAACAGTTTTTTTTTGTCAAAAGTCGTGGGCCCCCACCTTTCACATCACGCGTGCTCTCTGTTCTGATCCAACGGTCACTTTCCTTTCCGCATAACACGGAAAATGCTCCAATCCAACGGCTTACATCTCCCGCGTTTGACTCACTCCTGCCCCCAGAGGGCACACATCCCGATAAAAACTCCCCAAAACACAGCCCTAATTCCACTACTTCACATCCCCCAACTCCTCCGCTCTCATCCCTCACACTTCTTCGGCTCAGCGCAAATCTAGGGGCATCCAGACGAGTTCCGGTTCGTTCGATCCTCACATTTGTTTTTTAGGAGGTCTGAATATTTATGTACCGAAGAAAATACTTTCCTTTCCTTTTTAATTTTTTTTTTATCTCAGTTGTTTATTTGATCCAATTCGTGATCTTGTTTTTGAAAATATTGATCATTTTTAGTAATTATTTTGTCTTTGATTTTTTTTATCTTCTGTGAAATGGATTTACTTCTTCAAATTCTAGTTCTTTACATGTGTTTTTTTTCTTTTATCTGCTGTTATTTTTTTTATTTTATTTAATCGGATTCATTTTCCCCTGAAGCTAGAATTCATTTCTCTGGACATCTGGGATTGAACTGAATAAAGCAAAATGCCGTCGGCTTCCTCTTTTGTGAATTGTGTGCGCCTGGTGGTGTTCTTTCGTGTGATACTGTAATTCTAAGGTGTTATTTTGAAGTTTTAATTTAATTTTGATTATATCTTAATTTGTGGAATGCAAGTGTCTAGTTGTTTCAATTGTTTTGGTGACCCAGAAATGAGTAAAACATGGGTTCAGAATAAAGTTTGTTAATTTGTGCTTTCTTGGATCAAAGTTTTAATTTTGATCTGTGAGAGGGGAAGTTGATGATGTGTCTTTATTCTTCTTTCAGTCTTGTATTTGGTGGATGATTTTACTAAAGGCATTCTCATTGATGTAGGTGAAATTTGATTTGAAAGGAATTCTTCTTTTTCTATTTGGTGAGGGTGCAATTTATAATTGGTTGGGGGATTGAGAATGTATGTTGCAGTAACCATAAAGAGATATAGAGCTGTGAAGGAAGTGGGGAAGATTAAAATGAGCGTCGGTGTTATTGCATACTACCAACCAGTGCAAGTTTGTCAGGTAAATCTTGGCTGCATGTTTCTTTTTTTCCCTTACAGTGTTATTGAGGGATGTTTTCGATTTCATTTTGATGATTTTTTATTTGTGGTTGTTCCATTAATGATTTGTTATTCCTGGTCGTGTCCAGAGTAATACATGGCTATCATCTTAAATTATTGGTCATTGTTAAAATTTTCCAAATAGCTTATTTTTGTGGAAAATGGTAATTGTATTAACATGAATATTGCACATTTATATGTATAAAAGTACACTCAAGCATGCTTGGGTGCTTATTGGGTGCACACAAGTACAGATTATGAGGTGAAAAAGAAAGTTCTTTTAGAATGAGAAGAAATAAAGTAAATTGTCAGAATGCTCATCCTTACATCAACTGTAAATCCCTCATTCATCATCTCCTCTCTCCTCTTCGTGGTGTGTTTTAGGTGGTAAAACACAGATTATTCCTTTGTTTGCATTGCATCTGTCTTTTTTGTTGAGTTATGCATGGAACTATACTTGATGGTTGAAATCTTTTTGGACTTCCGTACTGTGTAATATAAGCATACATGTGAAATGCAATTGCAAAAATAAGTTGAAACTGTTGACCATGCATGGATTGAAGTAACTGGCCAGCTTTCTTGTATCTTTTGTTTAGAATTACCAAATAGATTGACTGACAAAAGCATTTTCTATTTGGTTGCAAAAGATTAGTTTTTATGGTGTTTGTTTGACATGCTAATGTCTTTGTTTTGGTGTCACAGGCTGAGTATTTCCGTCAGTTGCTTAAACCTGTTACGTAGTCTAATCCAAAAAAGCTCTTGGTCGGTAGAATCTGGTATTATCTGTGTGGTGATTGGTTTGTACGTAAGAATGCAGTGACAGAATGGAATTTTGGACTGTGTAAACTGTTGGTTTGGGATAGGCAGCTTGTTCTGTGATGGAAGTCTAGTTTACTATATTGTTTTCATCACAAGCTATTTGAAGTACAGTTTGAAATTGGATAAACCAGTTTTAAAGCTGAAAAGCAATCTCAGTGAACTTGTTATTAAGTAGGGTATTCAATGCAAAGGGACCGTCAGTCTTATTCCCAAAAGGGAGTGCCCACATTTGCAGATCCAGTGGGCAATAATTATATGCATATTCCTGTTCCATCTGCTTCTGGTGCAGTTTTTCCTCCGTGTGCAAGGCCTTTGCCTCCACTCTATGGTGTTGAGTTTCAGCCATCTGAGGTGTGCCCAACAAATTTCATTATCTTTGATCAAACCTCTCATGGAAGCCAAATCATGTTTAATCCTGCTATCGCACAGAGGTTCAGTTCTTATGGATTAAATTTCTGTGCTAATTATGTCCAACACAGTCAGGAGATAAAAGATGTCTCTGATGGAGAAAAAGAAACCTCCTCTTTTCTACAAGAGGATTCAGATGATATTGATGCATTACTCAACTCAGAGGAGGAGGAGGAGGAAGAAGAAGAAGAATATAACGAAGAAGAGGTGAGCACAGCACGGACTTGTGGAAATTATGGACAAAAGTCATATTGTTCAAAATCTAGGAAGAACAGTTCATCTTCTACTCTGAGGTCTTATGATGGTGACAGCAGGTGTAACAGTGGAATAAAGCAACAGAAAATGAAGAAGATGGTAAAGGTTTTGAGGGGAATTGTTCCTGGTGGTGATCAGATGGATACTGTTTCTGTTCTCGATGAAGCTGTTAGGTATCTCAAGTCTCTCAAGGTTGAAGCACAGAAGCTTGGAGTTGGAAGTTCAAAGAACTAAGTTGAGTGCATATGTATCATGGTAACAAGACTCCTCTCCTAGAATTTGAGTTTATTCTCTACTAGTTTGCCCTCTCATCACCTTCTGGATCTTTACCTTTGAGAGATACCAGGGACAGTTTGTCACGGTTATGTTGGCAGTTCAAGTTATAATGTATTATTTCCGTTCGATGCACTGGTTGTCAAACTTTTGAAGCTCCCACATTACCCTTGGATGGAGAGGGCAGATGTAATGGGCAAAATTAGCTATGGTGGATCCAAGGATGGTTACTGTTAACAATAAATTCTTGTTGCCACTTTATCTGTATTGCATGTTTGAACTGTTTGAATGATAGAATATGTACTTGAGTACTTCAACTATACTTTGAAAGCCTCTGTTCAGCGTGATTACTACATTCAAATGCACTATCCTCGAGTCTTGAGCATCAATTTTTTTTGGGGATACATTAGGGCAACCTCCTGAGCATCATTTTACGGATATATAATTTCTTTGAAGCTCTTCTATTGCCCTCTAGCTTTTTCCCTTTCCTCTTCCTCTGGCATTGGGTAGTTTTTCTTTGGTGTTGAATCATTCTATGCTTCTTAAGTGCATTCTTTTTCCTGTTTATTGTTTCTCTTCATGGTGGTACTTTATGTTTTTATCAATTTGTTGGAATCTCAGCAACATGTCAGCGGCACCATATGTAGTTCTGACTCCAAATTGTATCTTTATAAATGCCTAAATATGTATTAATCACTAGCTGAGCACGATTTCGCTCAGATCTGTCTTGATTCTCCTTTATGCTGCACTCCTATTGTTTGCTGGAATTCTAGTGACAATTTTTTTCCTCTCCTCACATTGCCTTGCTTGCTATGATCCAACTAGTAGTGGTATTAGTGGCGCACCAAGAAAAACCTCCTGATGTTCTCGTGCCAACCCCATTCAAGCTTTGCGCACTAACTGGTCCCAATTAGCATTTAGGGATCATTTTGGTCTACTTCTTGTCCTACACTTAAATCACTTCCAATTGCAAGGCAATCCTGGGGAATTCATGTGCATGCCATTGCTCCTATTATAAGATTTTAACCCTTTTCGGCTGTAGAGCATGCGCCTTTAGTCAAAACCTGCCAACCCCATATACGTATTGGTTTTATTATCACACCTTATTTATGAGGCGCATGCTTGTAAAAGTCCACACCATGAAATTGTTCCCCAAAACCAGTTGCATCATGCCAATGAAGCCTTTTGGATCATGCCAATTACGTTTATCACCAGCGAAAAGTATATCCAATATTAACATGATGCAAAATTGCAAATAACTAGTTACTTCTTGAATAAAGTGATTATTGTATTTTGTTCCTTTTTTTAAATTGACACATTAATTAAGTAATAAAGCAATCCATGAACATCATGCAAGGCTGCAAGTGCACAAACGAATAAATCATTCACATTGATGAAAATAAACAAAACAGGGTCCAATTAAATCTTTTGAAAAAGATCAGGGACCTAACAATAAAAATTGTAAGATTCAAGATCCAACTGAAAATTCTTAAAGGGTTGAGGCTCACACATGCAATTTAACGAAATCTTGGAAATTTCCCAAATTTGCCTTCCACTGTAAACAGGAGAACTGATCAACTGAGATTGCAGCGTTAGACTTTGAGTAGGAAAGCAGCCATTACAGACCCCATTTGACGAGAGGGCGAAGAAGTAGAATGGGGCAATGGGCCGGCTTTGGCAAAGGTTTGCTCGGAGAAGCATTCTCATTTGTCAAAGTCTTCCTCTTTCTTCAAGCCACCAACGACCATGTTGGCGGCTTTGTTCTCGTGAGTGTCAATCAGTACCCATCTTGGGTTTTCATTTCTGTAGTGTTTTGTTTGGGGAGAGGGGGGGGGGTTTCTTGTTAAATTTTGAGACTTTATTCGAATGCTTTGCAGGCTAAAGGTCCTAGTATGCTTCCGACAATAAGTCCTTCCGGCGAGTTGCTCTTGATGGAGCGCATCTCGGTCCAGCTAGGCAAAGTGCGCCCTGGAGACATTGTGGTCGTACAGTCGCCTCTGGTTCCTAAGAAACGGGTTGCAAAGCGATTGATTGCAACGGAGGGTGAACGGGTCACCTACGTCGTGGACCCCAAGAACAGTGATAGCCTCAATACCATTGTGGTATTTGATCAACTTCCATTTCTTTCTTTCTGGAGATGACTACTCGGCTTTAGATGTTGAGTTACACTGCATTTTTTTTTTTTTTTTTGTTTAAAGATTATATTGTTTTGCTTGAACCTCCTTTCCCGCGTCTTATTGCTTCATGGGTCTTGGAGAATGAGTTGTGTTCTGCTTAGTTCTTTTTAGGTTTTGAACATTTCGTTCTGTTTCTACAATGTGGATTTTAGAGACTGTTTATTGGCTAATGCATGTTGTTTTGGTTAATGGGACTTAATTAGGGATGTTTATTTATTTATTTATTTTGTTATTTTATAGTTTACAATTCTATATTTATTCCTCTCTTGCTTTAGGTTCCGAAGGGTCATGTTTGGGTTGAGGGAGATAACATCCATAACTCATATGATTCAAGAAATTTTGGGGCCATTCCTTATGGCCTTCTTATAGGCAGAGTATTTTGGAGGGTGAGCTTTTGTCTCTCTTTAGCTCAATTTAATGATGGATTAGTTTCCATACTGCTGGCTATTGGTTACGCCATTTATATTCTTATTTAGTGGATTGATGATAACTGTCAAACAGGTGTTTGGGCATGTATGATCTGCTCACTAATTATTTGATAGATATTTCTTCCTTTATTTCCCAATGAAGATCTGACTTAGCACTGTTCAGACTGGAGGCAATATTAAAATTTTTGAGAGTATTTTTTTGTCGAATTAATGGCAGGTTATTCGTTGCACATAACATGTGATAGGAAACATGTTGGTGAAAAGATAAATTTTTGAAAGCTAAATTGTCTTTCTTTACCTCAAGCTCACAAGAAGAAAGCACAAATTATAGTTGCAGTTGTAATTTCATTATTTTGTACCTCAAGTGTAAAGTGATTGGAGCACATGTTGAGTTGAGCTTAGATTTTATGGCTTCAAGTACTTTTCTGCTATCAATTTTCTAATCCACTTAAATCATATCATACTTATCTTTATCATTTATGTGTGTTCTCAAGGCTCTGAGTTGTGATATTTTGATATATATATATATATATATATATATTTGATTGCCATATTTTGATTATTTGTTACTAGGTATTGCCATTCAAAGACTTTGGATCAATGGAGCCTCATGAGAAATGAGTGAGACAAGCCTTATAGATAAGGTACAATTTTTCAGTGTATGCTATCGTAACTCTCATCCTGGAATGTTATACTTCTTAATCTGTTAATTTCTTGCTTGTCCACAATTTTTTCCAATTATCTGCTACTATTATTTCTGATACAGTAATTATGCCATTCTCTTGCATTTTTCTATGCAATTAAACACCTTCAACAGCATATCCTTAGCCACCCAATCACAAAACAATAAATCAGATTGCAGGTTGTAATGTCTCAAACCCCTTCATCAAAGTCTTGAGTTCTGGTTATAACTTTTTGAAGTCTCTTTAATCAGCAGTGGAGATTCTTCTCATGATGCACTTTCACCCTTAACACCTCTGCACCATGGTCATTAAAGGCACTAAGTATTACAGTGCTGCTCTGTCATTATCATCAGTTTTCTACATCTATTTATCCTTTTTGCAGCATTAGTGATAAGTCCATAATGCGTTAAGTTAGGTTCAAATTCATTTAGCAGTGAAGACTATCATATCTGATGACTGTATGTGGACCTCAAAGTTGTGGATAACTGTTTTAAAGATGTGAAAAAAATTGTCACATTTTTCATGACAACTAGCTTTTAACGCAACTATTTTCAAAATTAGTAGCTATTTCCATTTGCATAGAATCTTTCTTTGGTTGTTTTTTGAGTAGAATCTTAATTCCGTTTAGTTTCTTCTTCGATGGCCTTTTGTGTAGATGACCTGGCTCTATGCAGAATGGTCTCATCAGTCATTGGACCAACATTGTTTAGAACCAAAC